ATTCCTGATTATTCCAGGGATGAAAAAACAAAATACTGTAAGCTCAGATGAAAGCAACTGAATTCATTATTACTTACCTTTGTTTTCCTGAGTAAAGTATGGCTGATAAACAGTGAGTGTGCAATTGAAATGCAAGCTCACTACACTGAACAGAAATCTGGAGGAGCCCAGGGAACACCCTTCTCCCTGGGAACTGTCCTGGGGTGTGCCTTGTGGCCCGAGCGCTCCTTAGACCCTGCAGTCAGTTTGGCCTTTGGTGTTATTGAACGCCCTCCAGGGCTCGCCCTGCCTGTCTGGGGCTGGCTCTTGCTTAGGCATCTCTCTTGGGCGGCTGGTAGCTACAATTTATTCTGCTGAAATATACCTAATGGCCACTGGGTAATGAATACATGCAGGTTGCATCTCTGATTGGTCTCTTCAAGAGTGGTTGTGAATGTACCTATGTGTACAGACACACACACAGCTACAAGGGTCCTGAGGATAAGCTTGACAAAAGGAGATAGATGCTGTTAAGTGGCAAGTAGATGAAGCCTTTGAGGGAATACAATCCGAAATACAACTGCAACACATACAGGCCTATCAGAGATCCTTCTCTTTATCAAGAGAATCCAAATGAAGGACCCAACCGGCTTTTCAAGTGGGAAGCAGTTAATTCAGCAAAAGTTAAGCACTTTTAATGTATTCTCCATAAGAAGCATATGAGTTATGGGTGTGTTTTATTCCTTTTGGTAGAAGCAGTGCACAGTAGACCTGTATTTAAATTTGACTCTCCTGTCCTGACAGTTTTCAGATTCATAGCTCAGGTTCTTCAGCAGCTAATGGAGCAGTTGACAAAGGGCCAATTTGTGGCAGGAAAAGGGATGGTAATCTCACTGAAGCTACCCAGGAAGATTGATGGCCACTGCCCACCCTGTCCAAAGGCAGATCTGCTTATTGAGTGAATGAGCTAATTATGGGGTGTGACACCCTGATAGCTTTCATGGCACTTACAAAACTGCAGGTCCATTCTCATTGTTGTTAATTGCAAAGTCGTTTCCGACCCATCGCGACCCCATGGACAATGTTCCTCCAGGTCTTCCTGTCCTCTACCATCTTCTGGAGTCCATTTAAGTTCACGCCTCCTGCTTCAGTGACTCCATCCAGCCACCTCATTCTCTGTCGTCTCCTTCTATTGCCCTCAATCTTTCCCAGCATTAGGCCCTTCTCCAGTGAGTCCTTCCTTCTCATTAGGTGGCCAAAGTATTTGAGTTTCAACTTCAGGATCTGGCCTTCTAAAGAGCAGTCGGGGTTGATCTCTTCTAGGACTGACCAGTTTGAATGCCTTGCAGTCCAAGGGACTCGCAGGAGTCTTCTCCAGCACCATAGTTCAAAGGCCTCAATTCTTTGTCGCTCAGCCTTTCTTATGGTCCCATTCTCATTATTTAGCCTAAAAAAACCCACACACAGTTCCCATCTTTTTTAAGAGAGGGAGTTGGCATGCTACCTGCACAACAAAGGGCCAACCTTTAGCACCAGACAGGGGCACCCACAGAGGTTGGAGTTTGCAGATTTCAAAATCAGTATGGTGGCCATGATGCGTTAGGAGGGCTTTGCTCACTGCCCTATCACAACCATCTTGACTTCATTTCCAAGGAGGCTTCTGGAGCTGAACACCTTGCATGCTGCCAAAGGGGGGCTGGGAACAAAGGAGGGCCAGGAAGGGTTTAACCAAGGCAGCAGGCTAGAAACCAGGAGTCTTGAGTTCCAGTCCTGTCTTGAGCATGACAGATAGCTGGGTGACTTTGGCCCCGTCTCTCTGTCTTAGCTCAATACACTTCATCGGTTCGATATGGGGAGAGGAGGAGGAGGAATATTAGGTGTATTTGCTGCCTTGAACTATTTACAAAAATAATTTTAGGGTAAAATCTCAGAAACAAACAAGATATTAAAGAGTGCTACTAGTAGGCAGCATCCTGCAGAAGGGCTGGGGAGGAGGGTGGTTGAGTAGGTGGGGTCTCTCCATAATAACCATTTTGGGAGATCAGTCTGCTGCTGCTGCTGTTGCTACGATGGCTGAGCCGATTCTGTCTCTGCCTTCACGCCATGCGTGCAACTTAACAAATGCTTTCTCACTCACTGCTGGTTGGTCAGGATTGCTTGGTGTCCCACTCTAGGAAGCCTGTTAATCCCAAAGTTGTTATCTCCAAGGCTGGCCCTACATATTTTGCTGCCTGAGATAAGGAGGTTGGCCAATTCAACAGATTAAGGGGAGGCATTCAAAGTATTGAAGCCATACTAGTTCTGCTCTCCCTCAACTGTGGCTTGGGAATCATCCCATTCAGATGTTGTGGGGAATAAGCCAGCATGTTAGGACAAGCTTTTACTGTACAGAAGAGTGAATCTGGCAGGATCAGTTTTGTCCATCAAGGGCAGAAAAAGCTGACCTTTGGGCTTTGCCCAGTTCAACTTCTCAGGGCTTCTGGTCCTGCGGTTTCACATTTCCCACGCCAGTATGCAGACAATCACTTTCCTTGAAAATTAGAGCTGGGTTGCCAGAGATTCCACATTGCGCACCAAAGATTTCTTTGGGATCTACCTTTCCCCAAACCTTTAATCCACAAGGACAGTCAGGCAACTAGGCCTCTTTTCTCTTTGCATCTCTGCCACCACGGTTCACATTGTATTCTGTGCCTAACACTGATTTTCCACTGTGCCACTTCAGTGTTCCCATTTGCTTATTATTTATGCCGCCCTACGATAGCGATGAAATAAAGCTACCCAAATAGCAAACCGGTCAGTTTGATGTCTCCTTGCCTTCTGGGTGCAATGAGGAGGAAACCTTCCAAAGGACGGTGAGGAGACGGGGAGACAGAGCAAAGAGACTCATGGAATAAACTCTGAAATAAAGCCCAGGATATCTACTGTAGTCTTCATAACAGCTGGATGGATAGTGAAAGCACAATTGGCCTCTTGAATTTTTCCACCTACTTTGTGAGTAGACAAATCAAGATGGTTTCCTTAAGGGAAAGAAGTCTCTGCGGAGGAACGTTCCCAGCTAGAATAGGATCTTCCCAAGGGATCTAATGGAAATGGAAAACCAATGAGGCTACAGAGGTTGCAAAACTCCTCATTAACCTGACATAAAAAATCAGATCTATCAGATATAAGGGGTATGCAAAACTACTTTTTCTATAGAACCCTGGGCTGTTCCCATTTCTTCCCTAGAATGGCCTAGTCACTGTGGCCCACAGGAGAAACAGAATATTGCAGTGTGTTCTGGAATATTCCACTCCTGGACAGGTAGCTCCCGTTCTTCCAGGGGCCTAGCGGGCTCCTCTGGGAAGCCTGAAAGTAAGATAGTGCAGGTAGAGCCACGCAACTAGGCCTCAACTTCTGTTACCCTGAGGTATTTTGCTTTGCTGGACTGAGCCATTGTGATTAATTAATTTTATTTTTTAAAAAAAGTTTAAAGATTCTTAAAACAATTACAAGTTTGTTCTTTAAAAAAAACTTTAAAATCAAGCAGAAAATTCCCACGTGGCCCATTTACTGCAATAAGCCACAGGAAAAAAATTGTATAAAAAGATTTATTGAAATTCATAATTAACAAAGACATAAAACTCAAAAAGTTTGGCTCTTTGGGGAGCAAGCGGGAAGGTCGCAATGGACGTGCTTGTTTATATACAGATGAGAAACTGACTAGAAAATACAAGCCACTTCTAGAGCTCTTATTCGAAGAGGGACATGAAATTAAATCTGTACATTCAACTAGGTACTTTGCAGTCAATTTACTGACTTTTTAAGAAAATACAACTTTTCTTTCAGCAATCCTTGCTCGTGTATGAAAAGAGACCCGACTGGCCTGGGCGTCCAGTACTGTCTCCTCTGTTATTAAACGGTTTGCAAAGATCTTCAGAGTATTGTAGAGCACACGTGGAAACAGATTCTCATCACCTAATATCAAGGAGTTGTTAATATATTTTTATATATAGTATTTTACAGACCAAAATAGTACACACTTTAGTTAAAAGGGTTCAAACATTTTCTTTTTTTATTACAACTGTCAAATGCAATTCACCAGTTAACTCAGGAAATTAGGAACACTTTTTATATATATTTATAGATATTTCCATGACTGCCGTTTACAGAGAACTGCTCTAGACCCCCTCAATAGTCAGAATACGAACCAACCAGGAATGGGAGCTGAACAAGGATCCTGCCATATTCTTGAGCGGTTCCCATCCCAGGAGAGCTTGCCCAGCCATGCTCTACGAGATTTTTTAAAATAAAAATTTGCAAAATCACCCCCACAAACCAAATAAAAAGGAGGGAGAGAGAGAGAGAAAGGAGAGAGAAATTACATAGTTGGTCACTATTTACAAACAACCAAGTAAATGTTACCGATAGGAAGTGGAAGAAAAGGGTTTCTGGGAACGGCAGCCATTCACAAAACAGGTAACAAGAAAACACTTGGTTATCAAGATGCTGCTGCTCCCCTGCGGTGGCGGCGGCTGGAATGCTCCCACGGCCAATTTTGCTGCATCCAGAAGAGAAGAAAGAAATACTTACAATATCTTCATAAACTGGCAAAAAGGGGGGGAAAGCCACTGAGTCTTCAGGCCCAAATTATCCCTCCGCCCTCCAGCTCCAGCCATCAATTTGAATCATTGTGGAAATCTTCCGGCTCATATTTATTTCTAAAAAACTTTAAAAAAAAAATCTAGAGTCCAAGATGAGCCACTTCAAGAAAAATGAAGTTATCTCTTGCGTTCTGTCTGCTACTGCATAAACAGGAATAACAGATAAAATATTTTTTTCAGAAACAAAGTGTAGCAGTCTGAATGGCAGGTGTTTTTTAAAAAATATGTTATTTTAATTCCCTTGCCCATAAAATTAAGCATTTCCTTCTTGATCTCACAGCAACATTACATTCCAGGGAGGGGGGGTGAGAAGGGGTGAAAATACAGGGTATAAACAGTCAAATCACAATAGGAGACTTATTTCCCCCCCAAAACAGATTACGTTGCATTTAATCTTCCTCCTCGCCTTCATCATCGGCCTCCCGTTTTCTCTTCTCCCCCCGGGCTTCATCTGTCAAAGGAAAGGGTTGCAGGGTCAGGATGAGGGACATCTCTCTGCCCCACCAGCTGCCCCCCTCCCCAGGCCGCCCGCAGGAGACGGAGGGCTTCTGGGATCAGGGCAAAGCAACCCACTTATGTTCAAGCCCGATTTCCAGCTGCGCAAAGGCCAGAGCAGCTGTGGGGGAAAGCTGCTTCCACCGCCTGCCAAATTCAGCCGCACTTCTTGCCCCACTTCCACGGGGAGCTAAGTTCCACCCTGCAACTTTTACAGTACAGGCTGCACCCAGCTGTTGAAACTGGTTATCTAAGCATTATTAAAAGCATTTTCCCATATAAAATATGTGCAAAGAAGAGGAATAAAATAAAAATATTAACCCAGTACTAATCCTCTCAGTGGCTACTTTGCACACTTTTTAATTTTAAATTAGCTGGTTGGTATCTGTTTAATTCCAACTACATATTGAAGAGTTCCAGGCCACTCTACAAGCTCTATAGTCAATGAAGAAACTAACTTTTCCCTGAAGAAATTCCTGGCTGCACCAAATAGAAGCTATAGCTCTCGCGTTTCTCCTTCATATCTGACTTTTCCTCTTAAGAGCTCAAGGCATGCTCACTGGAAGCCTCTCCTAATTTTTTCTCCAAAGAGCTTCCTTCTGGGGGGAGGCAAGCCTCTGGTTGCGGGATGACTTGAACCTGGCTTCCAGGCCAAGAGCTTAACCCCCCCCCCCCAGCATAACAGTCAGTCTCTCAGATCTGTGCTACTGTCCCAATTCTCTAGCCTTTTAAACAGGGCAGAGGTTTTCTCAAGGTTTGTTTTGCACATACCAACTTCTTCTTCCTCTTCTTCATTATCTACTTCACCATCTTTATAATCCTCTTCATCCTCCTGCCAGAGAGAAAAGGCAAGCGTGTTTTATTGCATCTAGAACTTGTCTAAATTGGAAAAACTACTTTGCTTTGGAAGGGGAATTGCCATAACCACATTTGATATGAGGCAGTTATCTGCTCTGGCTGATCAGACCCCACCACCCTGCATTCCAAAACAAGACGCCTACAGCTGGTCTAATTCTCTCCCCCAATTACTACAGTCTTACCTCCTCTTCTCCACTCACATCTTCCTCTTCTTCACTCACATCCTCCTCTTCCTCTAATTCATAGTATCCTAACTGACCCTCTTCATCATAGTCCTCTTCTATAAAAACAAAACAGAAAAATCAAACCATTTTATCACCTTGTCCAAGAGAGGAGTCAATTTCATTTTCTTCCAGTTCTCCTCCTAAATCTTTGCTTTATCTGTCCCAGGCCATAAAGCGCAAGAGCACCATTACAGTCAGGACAGGATGGAGCCTTGAACCTTTGCAGGAGAAATCTAGGGAGGGGATCACTGAGCAAGTACAGAAATACCCGATTCCCACTCTCCCACTCACCCTCCTTCAGCTATCTGAAAGTTGGGATTGTGAAGTGTTTGCATTCTTCTTCTCTTCCACACTAGGGAAACAATCGCTGTGCAAGCTACCTTAGGCTCAGAAAGGAGACAGGCCTCGAAGGCAGAAGACAGGCATTTAATGAACTAAATAAACAAATAAAGAGCCCCTTTCGGGTTTCCCGAAAGGAAGGCCAAGAACATTAAGCAACCTATCATGTAGTTCTGCCACTTCTCTCGTCTCATGCAAATTGAAGGAGAAACGCTCCAAACCAGCTAAATCTATTTAAAACAGCAAAACCACCTGATGTTTTTACGGAGTGGAACATAACAAGAGAAAAGACGTGACAGTCAGTTCCAAATATTTCTGAAGTCTAATCAATGCTTACATTCCTATCATCTGGGTATTTTTCATTTGTCAACATTATTTCTAGCATTAACCTTTCAGACAATAGACTTGCAAGGAACCTGCCTCTTCAGTAACCTTAACTGCAGAACGAGGACAGGAGTCCCCACAATCCCCAGGCCAATAGTTCCTTGCTTGCACATGGCACACCTCTGCACTGTGTGGCGTGGCTGGCATGCCACGAAAGCCAAGTATTTAAGGACAAAAAGAACCATGATACTAAAAAGAGCACGAATATAAGAATGACCCTTGGATTAGATCCAAAGGAGTCCATCTACTTGAGTAGTCGCTGATTTTCAAGCAGCAGTTATGCCTAAAACTTGCTGGAAATTCAGAATCAGGGTGTGGATTTTAGGTAGCTGTTTCTGGCCTCTACTGTCCCTTCTAAACAAAGGTCCCACTAAGCCATTGTACGTATCAGCCACTGAGTACTGCCTCTTCCTCCAATTTATTGTAATCCCCTTGAAAGCAATCTGTAGGAGTGGCCATTATCACGTCCAGAGGTCGTGTTTCCAGTAATTTTAAAGAGGAATAAAATCAACATTTACATACTACCTCTGCTAGTCAGAGGTCCTCTTATATATTTACCCCACCATTCCAGTGCAAGATGCCAATGTTCATCAATATTTGGTGCCAATGAGAAGTACAGGGCACTGGAATCTAGGAATTTTTCAGGATTCATTCCGTCTCCTGCTTCCAGGACAAACTGAACTGATACAGATAACTCTGTGGATGGTTTTGCTGCATCAAATAAGGCAAAGATATGGAGTTTTGTTCTTGGGAGTCAACCTCAACTAGAGATCAATCTCACACACCATCCTCCTCCTCCTCTTCATCATCTAGGTCTTCCACGTAGCCTTCTGCATCCGAATCAGGGGCCTCTTTATCATTTCGATCATAGCCATCCAGATACGTGAGTTGAGGGAGAAGTTTGAAGACATTATCTCTGTAGTCATTCAGGTTAGTGACCTCACAATTGAAAAGATCTAAACTCTTCAGGTTTTCTAACTTCTCCTGAAAGAAAAGGAAGGTGTTCATTGCCAACCCTCAGCCCAACACCATTGTGTCAGAATTATAACAACAAATGCTCCAAATGTATAATCAAAAGGCTTCTTAAGTAGCAGGTACTCTATCCTTTCAATCTAGTGAGGATCAGAATCGGCCTACAAGAGGTCTGGAAGTGGGCTGGATTTAAGCTTCACCTGGAGCCACAAATCACTGGGACTCTGCAAGAGAGCTGTCCAAGGCCCAATGGGAACAAACCCTGACAGCATCTCCTCAAGGTGTGCCAGGAATTTTAAATCCCATGAAGGAAGCAGCCTCCTGTTTGTTTCCAGACTACAGACAACATCCCTTTAGACAAAGGAGATGCGGAAGTCTGCAACCAATTCTGCAGATGCTCCCTTGCCAAGCCACAGAAGCTCACGGGAGACTGGGCAAGTTTCACTCTGTCACCCCAACCTACTCAAACCTTGTGGAAGAACAGGCTTCGTGTGCTTAAATATCAGTGTATATTAACTAAAAATATCAAGTACCTAAGACTCTTCTCTGTTCATGTCAGCACTGAAAAGGATTCTATTAGATTTTTAAAAAGGAAGACGCTTGGTCCCATTTGATGGGGACGCCAAATAGCACTACAATTTTATTGTTTCATCCTTAGGGACTCTTTTTTCTTGTGTACTTTCCATTTTAAAGTGTGTTGACCTTCACAGCAGAAAGCCAGCACAGACAATGTGCGACAGAGGCAGATCCAAAAATGTTGCCAGTCGTAATGTTACTGAGTCAAGGTTCAGGGCAGCCGTTCACAGGGTTTTTTTTATCTCTTGGGAATAAGGTAGGCCCCAGGAATCATAACGAAAGGCAGTCAAGAGTGGATCACAGTGCAAGATGTGGGTAAGAGAACCCAAACTCCTTGTTCGCTTGTGCCCTGCAGCCATCTGGGAAGGGCCAGGCGCTGCTGAGGGCCAGGCAGAAAAGGAACGGGGAGGGCCAGAGAGGCTGCAGGGTGACAGGGCTACAGGAATAATCCCAGGAGTACAGGTAGTCCTCAACTTACAACAGATCATTCAAAGTTACAACGCCATTTAAAAAAGTGACTTATGAACGTTTTCATAGTTATGATCTTTGCAGCAACCCCGTGATCAGGTGATCAAAATTCAGATGCTTGGCAACTGGTTCATACCTGTGACCGTTGCTGTGTCCCAAGATCACGTGATCACTTTTTGCAACCTTCTGAGAAGCAAAGTCAATGGGGAAGCCAGATTCACTTAACAACCAGGCTACTAACTTGTCAACTTCAGTGATTCACTTAACAACAAGAAAGGTTGTAAAATGGGGCAAAACTTATCAACAGACATTTTGAGCTCAACTGTGGTTGTAAGTCAAGGACTGCCTGTACTGAAAACTGACAAGCAGTGGTTCGCTAAGAAGTCTATATGGACTCACCAGTGGTTCTATTGTACTAAGATCCTTTATTTTGTTGCCACTTAGGTTTAGATGTGTGAGGTTCGGACATTTTTCTGCCAATACTTCCAGTCCCCCTGAGATTCTGTTGTCACTTAACTCGAGCTGAGGAGATAAATATTGAGCCAATTAAGAAAATACAATTTTGTTATTAATTTCTTAAGCTGATTTGGCATTTGCTCTCCAATATCTACAGTAAAGTCTTATCTGTGCACATATGTCACTTCACAAAGGATACATCCCTTTCCTGAGGCAGGAACCATCTGAAATTCCACCCAGATAACTCCCCAAAGAATAAGTGAAGCTACATGACATTGTTCCAGACATAGAGGGTTTAAGGAGAGCCATTTGAAAGGAAGTTAAAGCAGCAGCATCAGAAAGATGCTTGGAGAAAAGGAGGAACTGGAGAAGCGAAAGAGAACGAATGAGGGAGCCTGGAGAGGAGAAACGGTGGAAGGTTTTGGAGGGGAAGTCGCAGAGCTTGTCTGAAACTAAAAATAGATGGTGGGAGTGGAGGAAATGGCGTTGAGGGCCATCAAAACCGTTGTACAAAGGAAAACCAAGACACATAGCACATCTGGAAGTCCAGATAAAGCTAAGCAGGCGACCTCTGGAGAGGGAAGGTGGGCTGTGAGATGATCATTCATTCATTCTCAAAAGAAGAACAAGAAAAGCCACAGGAATAATGATGGAGCAGAAAGAAGGCAGAATGGGGAAAGAGGGAATATGCAGACGGGATAGGATGTCCTAAAGCAGCATGGAGAGTCACATGCAGAGCAGAGAGATGCCAACCAAGAGAACAGCTGAATTAACACCTCCAGTGAGACAAACAAAAGGCTGCTAGCAGAAGAGTAATGAAACCAAAGTGTAAAGGCTAGCAGAGCTCATTGTTTCAACAATGAAGAGGAAACAAATGTTGAACACAGAGTGAGAAAAAGGAAGCAAAAGGGCAGCTCTTAGCAGGGCATCAGCAGCAGAGAAGAGCCAGGATGATTCCAAAGGCGAGGCAGCTTTGCCTTGGCCAAGAAGATGCTACCAAGGAAGAAAAGAAAGGGAGACAACGGGGGGGGGGGGCAGCCCATGCTTCGGCCATCCTGTAAAAGCAAGAAGCTGCATGACCTGAGCCAACTATCAAATGAGACCAAATTGGCAGTCAGGTGGGCAGATGGGCATGTATAAAATGAGGGTGACAGCTGCAGAGTTATAATAAAAAAAAGTGAGAAATGTTAGGAAATGTCTGCACTTTACAATTAGATGATACCCACATTTATTAAAGAGAATCCAAAGTTTTGCTTTACTGTTTAGCTACATAGAAACCTGCATTCAACATTGGGTTCAAGGGTCTTTTATATAAGTAATTATTTGGCAACTCATGTTTTTCTTCATAAAATAAGACAACTACCCACCTTCTTAAGTTTGTTTAATTTTGGTAAGTTTACAACTGAGGTGAGGCCTACATTGATTGTACTTAATAGTTCCAGCTCTTCAAATTCATCTGTGAGGCCTTCAATTTTTCCTTCATTTGACCTGCAGTTGTCAAGAACAAGTTCTTTTACCTGGATACAAAAATTATATAAAACAAGGCTCAGTTATGTCATTTTCAGTTTCAGTCACCCTTTAATTACAACCATCAGATGAAGGAATGGCACCAGCACCCAAAGAATTGGACTTTCCAAGAAACAATTAGCATATAACATTATCATTAGCATAATGACTTTCTTTCCCCCCCATAATGACTTTCTTTCCTCCCCTC